GACATGCTTGTGACACAAAGCAGCGGGCGTCAACACATCCGCAGCGACATCTGCTGGACTGGAAATTGTATTCCACTTGGTTTGGCTGATGTGAGCCAACCATTCATGTATTTTATTTGTTTTTTTTTTAATAATCGATTCTTACCTTCAAGAATCGATGCAGTAGATCACAAAAATTAGAATCGCGATGCATCGTCATGACGATTTTTTTGCACACCCTTACAACTGAGTGGTGTGGCATAAAATGTTTTCCCCATATAAGATTCAGCCAAGCTCTACACATACAGGCGATATATCAGAGCCAGTTAAATATCTGAGTTATTAACCGTGTTAGCTCTGGCGCACTCTTAGTTCCCAGTGGCCAGATGGGAAAAAACTGGCAGCAGCCCATCAAGGACTCTCACTAAATAAAGCGCTATTCGACCCATAAAGTTCTACTTCTTCTTTGAAATATTCTCTTTCCCTTAGTGTCTCAGTCCTAATTTATTTTTAAATCTTCATTTGCCCAGAGTGCATTAATTTCCCCTCTCAGTCCTTTTTTTTTAAAGTGGTACAGTAAAAGTTTGAATTACAAAAACTCATGCCTGGGGTTAGCAAAACTAAATTATGAATAATCTAATACAAAAACCATAGCACTTAACAGCAGCAATTAAAACATTTTAAAGCATCAAGTCTTTAAAGCTTTGTGGTTTGAAGATGATTGTATTTATTCTTTGTGTTCTGATAATTAGAGCAAGTAGAATCATCACAACTTTTTACCAGAAATTAACATTTATTCACATGAAAAAAAAAAAAATTAATCACACCAAAATATTTTTGTCTATATCTACAGGGATTGTGAAAAATCAAAAAGCAGGGAAGTGTTGGCCTAGTGGCTAGAGCAGTGCTGTTGTGCTCTGAGAAGGTTCCAAGAACCCGGTTTGATCCCTACAGGGTCCCTCTGGGTCCCTGAGCAAGACCCTTAACCCCACACTGCACAGAGGTCAATTTTACAGTGAGATTAATAAATAAATAAAAAAAGAGAATCAGAGTTTTTCACAGAAAAGGTACTAAGAATATTAGTTTGTATATAGCGAATAAAGTTTTTCCAAAAAAGCTACAGTGAAGGGATATTTCCAAAATAGGTGGATGAGTTTCATTGTCCTGATGGCAAAAGTAGCAGCTGCAGTCAATGTCTTTGTGTAGAGATTGCTTTGCTGGATAGCACCTGTGTTACTTGTTTGTAACAAAACATTTAGAAGGAAAAGTACATACAGTACAGTAGTAGTCCATTTGATATAGAGTACAAACTGCCTCCAGTAATAAATGACAGAAGCACAATAGCGATGTCTTTCTGAATAAAGCTGTTTTTTTGTCACACGTGGAAGAGTTAAGCAGATCTACCCACAATAGTCTCAAAAATTGATAAAGAAAAAGTAACCGGCCTCTCATCAAAAGCCCAGAACGCATCAATTGACGCATTGTCAAAGTCAGTTTTTTCATTGGTTAAAGGGTGCATGTTGTTCAGCATCACTGAATATATCAGAAACAATATATTTCAACAAATTCTGCTGTCATTTATTATCTTCTTGGGTTAAAGCTGGTCCTATAATGAATGTAACTGTAATAACAAATATAACAGCTTGCATTTATCAAAGGCTGTGAGGCATTTCTCTCTTTAGTAGAAACAAGTTAAATATACTTCAAAGCTCTTTCTGAAAATATCTCAGTAGCAACTGGGCTCAGGATCACATTACAAAGAACACCTCCATGTTGTTTATCAGCTTAATTATTTTAGTAATGTACAAAAATGACCTATATGTCTCAAGACCTACATTTTAGAGGCAATTTTTTAAATCAGTATTTCACTTTCCTGTAAAATTGTGAGATTTGTTCAGCAGCACATTAACTTGTTGGGCTCCAAACCAGCCCCCCTCCCTCCCTCCCTACCACCCGAATTACCCATAATTCCAAGACGTATTGTAAAAAAAATACATCGTTCCATTCAGATCTTTATTGCGGTTTGAAACATATTATATGAGTGTATTTTTTAATGAACTATACACATTTATTAACATAATAATTAAAAGTACCACTTTCTGCTTTGCTATTGACGTGGCATTTAAACGGCTCACCATCATGCGGAAATCTACCATGTCTTGGGGTATAAATACGGTCCGGTCAGCCAATTAGTAATTGATGGTGAATTTTTCGCACCCTAACATCTTCAACGAGAGGTCCTAATCCACAAATGCTTGGGGTGGCGTCAGTGACGGGGCCCCTAAGCAACTGCAGTTTCGCATTACCGAGTAATACCGTTGCTCCAAACTTATAAAAACAGCAAAACAATTGCGCCACCACCCTGTTTTTTTTTTTTTTTCGTTTTATTTCCCTGTGTATTTCTGTTTGTGGTGGGAATGGAAGAGAGGGAGGGGGGGTTAATGGGGACTGTTTGGGGCATTTGTTAATGAAAGATTTAAAACTTAGGTAGAACAAAAAAAAAAAAAATTACAATAAAAAGCAACAAGCATGCGGTGAACTGTAGGCCTACCCTCTGAGTCTTCTGGGATTAAAAACTGTTTCAGTTTAAAATATCTCCGGTGCGAAGAGTATGTGTGCGTCGTGTCGCCTCTCCGTTCGGTCCAGTGCACATTAGCGTCCCCTTTAGCCTTCACAAACAGACGCTTAGCTTTGGTTTCCTTGGATAAGGACAGAATCACTTGTCCAGTTATAGTGTCTCCCTCTGAAAAAGTCTGGTCTACGTTTAGCGCTTCGCAGCTGATAGTAAAACTACTCACTGCAGGCATCGTTTCACAAAGAAAAAATAGGAAGAGCCCGAAACAAAACTGCACAATAACTCAGGGAGCCTTTTTTCTGCTAAAACGGTCTGTCTAATTTCTGAGAACGACGGAAAAGACACGCCAAGAACATGTATTTATTTATTTTTTTTTATACCGCCCCCAGCCCCTACAAGCACGCGATGTACAGGAAGCATATTCAGAAGTATGGAAGACCAAAGGTGCCACCACCCATTAAAACAAACCCTCTCTATTTTACATAAAAATTTTATTAAAAGTAATTGAAAGAAAAAGAAATCTATATTTAATAAAAAATTGTCATTTTAAAAAGATTTGCCATAGACAGGTTACCATCAAAATATTATTTCTTGAATGGCAGTAGATCAATGTATCCATTTAGGTCAAATCTTCTTGCAGAACCTGTGGATCATCTCATGTGTCCCTCCTCATGTTGATTCAATTTTTTTTTTTTACACAGTAAATCAGTGGCTGTTTGCAGCTGCGCTTCAAATGTTATCATCCCAATAAATTTATAAGTGGCTATCAGTCCCATAGAATGCCTTCAAATTGTGCTTATTAGGTTGTCATCATCGACTGAATCCTAATCCTAACTCTAAAGTAATTATTTTTTCCCCACGCAATTAGTTAATTAATTTATGTGTAATCTGAAAATAATTTCAGTAGTTCTTCATGTGCTGTAAATATGACTAAGTGAAAATAAAATGATCCACATCTCGCTCATATTAAACAAACTAAAAAATAAAGTAATCTCATGCCCTGTCACTGAGATGTAGAATCCTCTCCCTATAAATATTGAACTCTCTGAGAAAAAGTGAAGATCATTCTTTAATAAGATCCTCATTAAATGGACATGGAATGTTATTTTATATGTATATATATGTATATATATATATATATAATAAAACAACGCGATTGGGTGTAAGGAGAGCGGAGACGGGGGATACTCTGAGTTTGCTGAAGGAAACCCGCTACTGTACAACCAGCTTAGCTCTGGGGAGGATGCTACTACGGTGACTGAAACAGAGGTTGAGGGAACTCTCTTTGTGAACCAGAGAAGTCAGAGTTTCTTTTCTTTTTTGTTTTCAGGTTTAGACAACCTAAGAGATTTCAGTAAACCTGCTTCATGAAACAGATCCCTATGGTTTGCTGCATGTCTCTCTATAAAATATAGATAATCATGGTGGCCTGCCATGACCAAAAATACCTCAGTTAATTTTAAAATAAAATTATGCACAAAGACTTACATAAATATACAGTCAATAATATATAGTTATTAAATGCAACAAAAGGTTCCTGCACAAGGCCTCCTGTGGAGCTGGCTTACAGTTACCTTATGTATCTCTGCTTCTTTATGTCTGCTTCTGTTTCCTTGGAACCCCAGTGGGCAAAAGGCCTCTGCCTAGTTCTATTTGAGGTTTCTTCCTGTTAAAATTGAGGTTTTCCTGTCCACTGTCGCTACAAGCATGCTTGGTTTGAGGTTTTGCTTTCGAGTCAACGAGTCTGATTCAATCAGCTGATTTTCCTTAAATAGAAAAATCTGAACCAATCTGACTGTATGATCTGGATGAATTGTCTCTTTAAAGAGCCTTGGTGCTGTGAACTGGCACTATATTAAGGAACTGAATTGAAATTAAACTCATGTAAAATGATGTTATTTAAGACAATTTCAATTTAATCTGATGCTTTAGGTCTTTGAAATGAAGTAATGTATGTTAAAACAATAACAATGAAAGGAATCTTCCCTTTCTGCTACAGAATCTTTCTGTCTCTATTTTCCTTTATTTATATATCTAACCATATTCATTCAACTACAATCTGGTGACAAAACTTTAACATTCTTAAGACACAGCAAAGCTTCTATGATCTTTACGCAAATGCTCAAAAATCCAGATTAGAGAAAAGGAGAGACATGTCCACATTCAGGAATAAAACCCTCATCTTGACAATAACATGTAATTAAGGAGGATGGCAGAGGATGGTTGCAAGAATGCCAGATATAAAATCAATATTAATAAAAATGTTTTACAACACCGCAAAAACCTTTCATATACTGGAAAACAGTGGAGTAGAAATATCACTGCTCACTATGGGGCCAGTTAATTGCAGCTTATCCTTAGAGGGGGCTGACCAAGTTCAAAGCTTATAGCGTAAATCTACAGCTTCAAATGTAAATAAGTTTCCATTTTACCACAACCTCATAATGTGAAATTGTTGCTGGGAAAAAATGGTTTATAATCAGAGGATTGAATATTATGTTTGATAAAAGCTTTTTCCTGATTGTTCCCTTTCATCAACATTCCCCAGCTTCCTTCTTTTCTCTAAGCATGCACACATTATTAATGAAATTCTATGAATGACTAAAAATTTGAATTAAAGTTTTACTACTTTAATTTATCGTAGGTAGATCAATAAACACATTTGCCAGTCAGGCTCTTCTGTCTATGATCACAGGCTGCAAAAAGGGTGTGATTCTTTTATATTCCGATCTTACCCAAGCTTGGCTCCTGTATCACATTACAAGCGAGCTCTAACCTTTTATCTATCAGTAAAGACTGTAATTGGTCTCTCTGTGTTTCCCATATGAGTGTAAGATTACCTACCTGATCCAGTGGGCTGTTCACCCAAGCAGTGTGAGCTTTTCAATAATACATTTCTCTCAGGCGAATCCAACCTTTTGCTTTAAAAAGTAACAGTTTTCACTATTATAGACTTTATATTTATTACTATAATAAATATAGTATTATAATTAAATAGCTTTCAGACTCTCATAGGTTTTTGTGTAAACACACGCCCAAGAGGCTGTGTGTTAGGACAACAAATGAAAGTGTGAATAGAGCTAAAATCATTGTCAAACAGTTAACTCTAGATAATTTGTAACTATGTGGATAGATATGTGTGGAAAAACATGGCGAGCGAGCCATAGTTCTTACGGGCAAGGGTTTGCAAATGTAAACATCTAGAAACATTAGATGTAGCCCATAAAAAATAAAAATAAAAAAACCCTGAAATGTTAGAACTGTAAATATACAGTCATATGTTTATATTACTGTTTTTATGTTTTTTTTTTTTTTTTTTTTTTTTTTTTTTTTTTTTTT